AAGAGCCATATTAAGAAATTGCATTCCACTACACATGTGGTAGATAACAGTCAATCCCTGAGCAATCTATTAATATATCCTCTCATGATTACCTACATTATTAACAGTTAAGTGTATTACTAAATTTTCTTTCCTAATTCTTTTTTTTTTACAATTCAATAGTTTAATCACATCAAGAATAGTTGCACAATCCTCACCACAATCAGTTTCAGAACATTTTCTTCATGTGTTTTTTTTAAATAAATCATTTTAGTGGGGACTCTTACAACAATCCATACATCCATTGTATCAAGCACATTTGTATATATGTTGCCATCATCTTTTCCCTTTTTTGGTCAAGCACATTAGTACTTTTATTGCCCTCATCATTCTCAAAACATTTGCTTTCTACTTGAGCCCTTGGCATTAGCTCCTCATTTTCCCCCTTCCTCCCCGCCCCCCACCCATGAACCCTTGATAATTTAGACACTTTTATTATTTTGTCATGTTGCACATTCCTTCTCCCTTCACCCACTCTCCTGTTGTTCATCCCCCAGGGAGGAGGTTATATGTAGATCTTTATCATCGTTTCCCCCTTTATACCCCAGCTTCCCTAATTCTATACTTTTTTTTTTTTTTAGTGACAGTAATTTTATGTGGTGGGAAAGTGTGTGTTTCTGTCCCTTGGTCTGGGATTTATTTTAAGGGCCTGGTTTCTAACTAAGACTTCATGCCCCACCCACCCCCGTCATAGCTTCTCAGGAAATGAATCAGAAAGGACACAGCTGGGGAAGAAACTCAAGACTTGCTGGAAAGCTGCAAAGAGAGGGATGAGTATATTCAAATCAGTGTGCTGATAGAGTCCCTGGGAGGGAGGGAGTGACAGAGGGGCTGGCAGTCAAGTCAGTGTGCCCTCTGCTTTCCACAGCAAGGACTCATCCCCTAATGGGCACAGCAGGGTGGGCTTGGTGAGATGACTGAGGTGACTCAGCAGGAAGCAGGGCTCCCAAGCTCCATCCTTGGACTCCCCATTCAGCTACCCCCTTTTCCCTGAGACATTAAAGGAAGAGCAGGACCTATGTCATGGTCACTGCTCCTTGTTCACGGAAGCTGACCCTGTTCATGGCTCGCTCTGAGAGGCCCGCACACTCATGGGTGCTCAGGGTGATGTGGACCTTGTGACTCCAGATGGTGGTCCAGATGGACTCCACATTGAGACTCCTGATGGTGGTCCAGCTTCTCCACCTGCAGGGTCACCCTGTCATGAACCCCAAAACCCTACTTTTAAAGCTTGGAGGTACAATGCTTGAAGACGGCATCACAACCTTCCAGTTCAGTCCAGGCCCCAGCCTTCGGGTTTGGCAGCAGCTGGTCCCTCTCCCTGGAGATCAGCCTGTGCAATTGGCTGGTCATGTCTGACACAGCAGAACACAGCAGGCCCAGAGGCAAGCAGGAGTATGGGCATCATGGCCCTGCCTTTTTTTTTTTAAGCAAAAGTTTGCTCATGCAACTCATTGTTTTCTAACATGTTCTTTTTAGCTAAGCATGCATCTTGAACCTACTTCTATACTATACTATGTATGGTGTAGTATGAAAATAAATAATTTATAAATTATCAAGGGTTCGTGAGGGTGGGAGGGTGGGGGAGAGAGGGGAAAAAGGAGGAGCTGATACCAAGGACTCAAGTAGAAAGAAAATGTTTCGGAAATGATGATGGCAACATATGTACAAATGTGCTTGATATAACTGATGTATGGATTGTTTCAAGAGCCATAAGAGCCCCTAATAAAATGATTTATTAAAAATTTTAAAGAAAAAATAATAATTTAAAAAAAATAAAAGAAGCTGCCACCTAGATTCCATTGTGAAGGAGGTACCATAATTTATTTCGCCCTTCCTATGAATGGACATTTAAGTGATTCCCCCATTTAAGTCTTTTTTCTGACTTTATATTCCTAAAAGTTAATCACCAGATCAAAACATGCAAACATTTTACATTTAATACAGACTGTCAAATGAGAAGAACCAGATGTGAAGGTTAGCCTTGGCAAGCAGGAAGACTAAGGGAGAGATAGGCTGGTCAGTCGTAAGTCCCTACATTGTATTTGTTTCTGCAGGCTAATGTAATAACTGGACCAGTAAGCAAGATCCTGATAAACAGAGACCATACTGAAGTTGTCAAGAATTTCATTTTTCTTGGATTGACGATCAACATTTATGAAAACAACAGACAAGAAAATCCAAGGTTATTTTGTGTCGGGCAAGTCCGCAGCAAAGATCTCTTTGAAGTGTCAAAGAGCAAAGACGCAAAGATCTCTTTGAAGTGTCAAAGAGCAAACACATAGCCCTGAGGACTAGGGCGTGCCTGATCAGAACATGGTTTTCCGTCAGCGCATGTGCCTGCAAATGCCGGGCAATGGAAAAGGAAGGCCAAAGAGGAATTGATCTTTGCATTATGGTGTTGGGAAGAAGATTAAATATACCACAGACTGCCGCGGGAGGAATAGATGTGTGTTGGAAGAAGTAGAACTAGAATCAAGGATGGAGAGACATCATCTCACACACTTTGGGCGTGTTATCAGGGGGGATCTGCCTCTGGAAAAGGGCATCATGCTTGGCAAAGCACATGGTTAGTGAGACAGAGGAAGGACCTCAATAAGATGGAGTGATGTAGTCACTAAAACCATGGGCTCAAAGACAGCAATGACATTTGACACAAGCCGGGGCAGGGTTATGTTCCGATGTATACAGAGGGGGTCACTATGAGCCAGCACTGACTCAACACCACCGAAAAACAGCAACCGTGACTTTGAGGGAGTTCGGGGATGAATCATAAAGAAGATATGGTGTGATGTGTGGATTAAGTGCCAATAAAACTGTTAAAAAATAAGAAAAAGATAGCAGTGTATTGCAGCAAGTCATTTATTGGAGGGATACATGGAGAGCCACATGCAAGGAACAGCCGTCCACAGCAGAAGGTCTTCCAGAGGCAACCGGGCTCAAGAAACCACCAGAAGGAGTCGAGGGCCAGGGCCCAGGGGATGACAAAGGAGAGAGCATTGATGTAGCCCGAGGTGGGGGCCTCCTGCTGCCAGGTGCACAGTCTCTGAGTCAGAGAGCTCCAAAGACAGCAAGCAGATTTCTACGCATAACAACCCCATGTGACAGAGTACCATAGAATCCTTCAACAAATAGCAATATTGTTGTTGTGTGCTGTGGAGCTGATTCTGACTCATAGCAACCCTGAAAGACAGAATCAAACTGCCCCGGAAGGTTTTCTTTGCTGTAACCTTTATGAGAGTTTTTCTCCCCCAGAGCCTTTGGGTGGGTTGGATCCACCAACCTTTCAGTTAGCAGCTAAAATCTCAACCATTGTGCCACTCTCAATCACAGCTTCTTAGCAGCACCTTAGTATCCTTATACAGTAAAGCCTGCAAAAGCTAAAATCTGTGTGAGACAAAACCAGTCAAAGAAGGAATATACAAATATTTCCTGCCATTAGAGGCTGATTGTATTAGTTACATAATTTCATGTCAACTTGATAAATAAGTGTTGTGGTAGAGTGTAGCCTGTCAGGTCACAGCCTGAGGATGCCTCCTTGTGGGCATGGCCTTCTCAAGAGGATTCTGGGAACGTCCTTTCTTCCTCCCTGGAGGCAGGCCACACTCTCTCTCTGCTTCACCTTCCTGTTCATGAGCCACTTTGAGCCATGCTGATGGCAGCCAAAGCCCTGGAGATGCGTCCACCCCCCATTGGATCTACACAACTTTGTACCCACCAGCCTGTGATCTTCCTGCAGCCTGCAGCATTGCACGTGGCTGCATGAATCTGAAGAGGGACTTGGGTACTAGTATCCCACTTATGGACTGGTATCAGACTTATAGACTGGTATTGGACTTTTGGACATGATCTGGACTGAGCTGGGATGTTTTCTTAATATGAAATTACTCTTTGCTATAAAGTTCTTTCGTACACATACATGAGTGCCACTGGAATTGTTTCTCTAGTCAATCCACCCTAAGACACTGAGAGAAAGGTGATAAGACTGCACCCTGCCAAAGGTGCAAAGCTAGACAGTCCACAGGTTTCAGTATAACAATAGGATCTTATCTTATTTCAGGCTAGCAGATGCTGGGCTGTTTTGCTGGGTATATAAAACAAGCAGACTAGAAGTGGCTACAAAATTGCTTATTTGTACTTTTCTTAAAATCAGATGTATAAAAATTTAAGTTTGGCATCCGTGTGCTTTTGGGGGCTAGCAGGCTTGCTATAAAGAAGTAAACAACGCAGGACAGATAGAGGCCATCTTGGGCTCATTTATACAATTTAAGGATCCAGTCGTATTGGATTAGGACTGGCCCCACTCCAGCACGACATCACACTAACTTAACTGACAACATTTTCAAAGACCCTAAAACAAGATCAGGTTCTTAGGTACCAGGAAGTGGTGGATAGGTGGGAAGGTGGACTACATTTTAACCATAACTTCTTGGGAGACACAGTTCAATCCATCATAGGCATCCAGGTACAAGGGCAAGCAGAAAGCTGATTCCTTGACCAGCAATTTTGGATAGGGCGGGCGAGGCCCAGACATGTAAGTGAGGGGCTGCTGATGCTCAGGAGCACCTGAAAGCCACAGCCCCTGGCTTCTTTCCTCAAGCACACACCCACAGCGGCTACGAGTGACTGAGGCTGCAGCCCCCCGTGATGTGGTGCCTCTACTTGAAAGCAACTCATGTTCGTGAGGCCTATAAAACCTTCAGAAGAGGGTCTGGCACATAAAATGCTCCAGAAACACCAGTTCATGTTCGTATCAGTATCCGTCTAGGGAGACTTGGCAGCACAATGGTTAAGCCCTCGGCTGCTAACCAAAAGGTCAGCAGGTGGGTTCGAACACACCAGGTACTCTATAGGCTAGAGACAGGGCAGTCTGCTTCCATAAAGATGGCAGCCTTGGAAACTCTACGGGGCATTTCTATTCTGGCCTGTAGGGTTGCTATGAGTCAGAACTCAATGGCACCAACAACAAGACCACAGTATTAGTATTCCATCTCCAATCGTGAGCCATCTCCAGTCCCCCTACCTTTCAGTGACAACTCTCAGTGTTTGGGAAAGGGCTGGCCAGTGGCTTTGAGTGTACAATGGGTAAAAATACTGTCCATCTGACAGGGTTCTTATAAGGATTCAAGATGAGGCATAGAAGAACCCAGCTCCCAGCTGGAAGCAATAGCTGGTAGCTGCTATTATGATCACTGCTGGTCCTGTCAGGATCGACACAGTGACTGCACCGGTGAGCTCATGTAGAGCAAAGATAATGAGGATGGCGCTGGACCAGAAGAGCGCCATCCTGTTGTGCAAGCATAGGGACATTATGAGTCAAAACCAATATGATGGCACCTAACAACAGCATGTTGTCCCACATGCCCCTTTGCCAGGACTTACATGCATACTTGCACATACCTGGTGTGCATATGTCTCGTCCGTGACCTCCAGGCATTAGACCCTTGAGCCTCTTTAAAGGAACAGACAAAACCAAAGTCCACATCTACTAGCCAACTATCAAGGGGCAGAGCAAGAAGTGCTTAAGATGGGCAAGTGAAACCCAGAGAACCAAACCCACTGGCGTCAAGTGGACCTTGTCTGATTGTTGGTAGGTGCCGGCAAGTCAGTTCCAACTCTCCGTGACCTGTGCACGGCAGAACGAAACACTGCCTGGGCCTGCCCCATCCTCACAATTATTCTGATGCCCGAGCCCGTTGTTGAAGCCACGGTGCCCATCCGTCTTATGGAGGGTCTTTCTCTTTTCACTGGCCCTCCACTCCACCATGCATGACGTCCTTCTCCAGGGACTGGCCTCTCCTGACAACTATCCAAAGTACGTAAGACAAAGTCTCGATGTTCTTACCTCTAGTGGGCATTCTGGTTGTACTTCTTTCAAAATAGATTCCTTTGTTCTTTTGGCAGTTCATGTACATTCAATATTCTTCACCAACACCATAATTCAAATGCATTGACCCTTCTATCTCTTAGGGGCCCTGTAAGCCAGAGAAGAACTGCTTCGTGGGGTTCCCAAGGTTATAACCCTTGGAGAAGCAAGCTGCCACATTCTTCTCCCACAGACGCTGGGGGAGTCCGAAGTCAAGGAGGCCAGCACAGACGTGGAAGCCTGTTGAGGTTTAAGCAGTACAACTTCGCAGATCATTGACACAGCATACAAGCTGACTAAACGTGGTGAATGCATACAAGCCTTCCTGGTTGCTTTCAATTGTTTTTTTTATTTTATTGGGGGCCCTTACAGCTCTTATCACAATCCATACATATATCCATTTTGTCAAATACATCTTTATGTATGTTGTCATCATCTTTTTCAAAATAATTTCTTTCTATTTGAGCCCCTGGCATCAGCTCCTCCC